TATTCTTCATCATCATCCATCCCACTCTTTCTTCACCCTGCATACCTGCAGGGGAGCAGATAAGCCAGGGGCCTCCAGCTTGCTTTTGCTCAAGGCAGAAGACTTAACCTCACTCGTGCCCATGTGTAGCCTCTCCTTTTGTTTGTGCTGGATGGAGCACAAAACCTTTGCGGGATCAAGGCCCAAAAGCAGCAGGGCTGAGAGAAGGATGCAGCTAACCATCCAGATGGAGAAGGGAGAGGGAGGAGGCATGGCCAAGGAACAGCAAGTGGGCTATATCAATGGGCCTTTGAAGTGAAGCCAATTTTAGGGCTAAAAGGAGCCAATGGGCAACAATGACTCACAAGGTACAAGATAATGGAGACTTGGGCCTGTGGACAGCAAGTAGGTAAGGGTGAGAGAACTCAGCAAGCTCTTGTTTGCTCTCATGGGGGATGAGGGAAAGCACCTAGTAGAGGTGGGCCCGAGCCATTAAGTTTGGATCTGGAGCATAACTTTCCCAAGGTTTGGCAGTGATCCGATTGGGGATTTGGTACCAGTCCATCTCCTCTGGTGAGGGTGAGAACAAAACAAATGCACCATGTACAGTAACAAAGGGGAAAGAAGAAGCCATTCCCATATAAACTGGTTTCAATATCTGAGTTTGCAGACTTGCTTTATGTGATGTTCACTGGTGAGCAGATGAGGCACACAAATCCCATGTTGTTCACTCACTCACTCACACACTGTCCATACCGTTGGTCTCACAAAGACAAGGGAGGGAACCAAGATCAGAGACGAGTGAAAGAGTTTTGCTTATTTTTGGGGAATGTTCTTTGGTGACATTCACCCAGAGAAGACAAGAAGGAGAAGAAGCTGCCTGAGCTCAAGCTCACAAGTGATTAGAACCATGGCCTGAGGACCAGACGAGAAAGGAGCGATATCCTCTCACCGCCTGACATGGGGACTTTACACTGCTGTGTTTCCAGATGTCCGGTTACAGCTACTCCAACTGGGAGCTGTTTTGCTCCCAGACGTTCAGGTGAGTGCAGAGCAGGCAAGGAGACAGAAGTAAGCGGTGATGCTTGTACAGACAATGATGTCACTACAGGGAAGTAGCAGGTAGGCAGGCCCAGAGGAGGGACATTGTTTCTGGGTGGGACAATCATTGGCAATTTTCATTCTCACAAGTTTGGCGGCCTTTCCAGAGTCCGGTGACAAAGACCCGTTAGAAGTGATCTCTCTGGATGCCAGTTGAAAAGATCACCATAAAGGTGGCCTGCATAGATTCCAGTGGTGACAATCCCACTGCAGTTGGTCCCTTGGGATTACAGTGTGGTCAGAATCCTCTCTAAGGCAGCAAATGTACCCATGAGTGGTGTGGAATCCCCTCAGATGTGGCACTTCCCTTCAGAGGGTGCATCATCAGAGTCCAGTAGCAAGACTCCCCTTAGAGGCAAGCCATCTCCTTTCCAGCGATGAGGCTCTCTCGCCATAGAGGCAGTCCCTCCAGGTTCCATTCGGGGGGATCTCCTTAGTGGGACCATTCTGGGGATTCCTGTGGTGAGGTGGATTGTCCTGAAACCATTCATCTTTCATGGGCACCTCGGCCTTTTCTCCTCTCTGATTTATTGCTGCAATCCAGCACACCACTGGAGATTGCTCTTCAAAACTGATCCCCTGCCCTCAAAGAAAATCATTCCAGTGGGCACCAGAGACCATTCTCCAATTTGATCTATAGCCCCAGGTCTGCGGCAGCAGCTCTAACCTTGTGAAATAGAACTACTGCAAGAAATTCTTTGATCCAACAGGGCGCAGCAAACACCCCTTCCTCATAGAAAGCAACAAGCGACGGTGAGACACAAAAGGCTTATAGGAGCTTCGGTTCCAAGAAGCATTAGTCGAACCATATCAGAATGTGGGCTGGGTAACTTTCTCATGAGATCTGTGGTGCTTCCTGATTTTGCTTGGATGAGAATTGCAAATAATACAGCATTTCTTGTGGTATTTCAGCATTTCCCAGCTAGGGCCCAACACAGATACACTGTAGCTGGGCTGTAAATTACTGGACAGATGAAGGTTGAGAGAAAGGGGAAATAACACACCAGCAGAATGTACCACAATGTGCCTGGTCCTCTAGGCCTCTGGTGGCTGTAGTGATAGGGCAGATGTCTAGGTGGGGGAGGTCAGCAAGTTAGCAGATTCTACCGAATTCTGAAAAAGCAGGATAACTCCACAAAGTCAAGACACCCAGTCACCCTAATTGATGGGTTGTGTGGGAGAAGTTGCTGCTGTCCGTGCCATAGATAAAGAGAGGATTTTAGCCTCAAGGGCTGTTAATCTGGTCTCTTTCACCAGTGCTAACAATTAAATCTTCTTTTTCTTCTTCTTCTTCTTCCCCCTCATCATGGGCTGGGGCACCGGGCAAGCATCCATTGTCTTCACTGGGCTGAGGCAGCTCCAGGGTTCACTTGCTTACCATCTTCTTTGACACAATCCACCCACTACTTCCTCAGCTTTCCTTGAGGTCTCTTTCCTACCCCCCCTCCTGCCATGCTGCCTGCACCAGGTCCTCTTCATTCATCTTCTGTATGAGACCAAACTAGCAAAGTCAGGCTTCCTGGATTTTGTCAGCTACATCAAGGACTCTGACTTCCACCCTAAAGCTTTCGTTTCACAGCCTGTCTCTTTTATTGTGCAAAGGCATCTCCTGGTAAACACCTATAGGCATTGAACCTGCTGCCTCTTTACTGCCCAGGCTTCTGCACCATACAGCACTGTGGGTGCACCACTGAGCTATACAACTGGGCTTTTAAGGCTACAAATTAAGTGCGTTAGTAATATTCACAAGGGTGAATAACAAGCCCTCTGGCTTCAGGGACAGCTTTCCAAAGACCAGAGCTCAATTTGGGCATATCACTGTTAGCTTTACTGCTGGTACAAATATTTCTAACATTGCCAACATCCAGTCTTAAGCCAGTGGGGTGTTTTTGTTTTTTGTGGGTGTTTTTTTCCAGATTCAACCCACCTAACTTGTCATTTGTTTCAAGATCAGTTCATGGAAAGCTGAAACTGAGCCATCGCGGAATCATCACAACACTCTGACTAGAAACATATCAGCAGCATAGAAAAGCAGAACAAACATGGGGATGTAGCTAATTCCCAAGTCCCATGAGCCCACCACTCTTCCTGGAGTGCTCCTTTAATAGTTGGTGTTAGACGTGGTGAGAAAGAGAATAGAAAATACATCCAAAATGGAAGGAATCTGGTCAGCTTTCCTGATCTGTAACATGACCAGAAGTGGGTGAAGCTCATAAGGATGGATAAACACTAGGTAGATAAGCACCCACAAACTTAGATGTTTATATGACTCTCTTGAGTCTTAGGCTGCAAATCTCACAGAAAAGGCTCCCCTTGTAAGATTTTGGGTACTTCACATATCCGCATTACGTTACTGCAAGGACAACATTTCTCATGGTATCTTCGTGCTATTTTAGCACCTCTGATTCAAAGACAGCAACTCAGGAATAAAGGCATTTTTTAAAAAAGTGAACTGAAGGTTTTTTGTTTTTAACTTCTGGAATCATTTGAGCTGGGTTTGGTTTAAGTGATGGGTGAAGGGCCACATCCACCCTTATTTTATCTACTCTGTTCTGCCCATTCCTGATCTGACAGCCACTGATGTCGACTGGAGTCATTCCATTGACTTCACTGGGTCTTTAATCTCTATGGGCCAAATTCAGCCCTATCATGTGAGGTTGATATCAATGGCGTTGCACCTGCTTCCATCAGGTCTCAACTGGCCTTACAGAACCACTCTGCTAGGCCATCTCTTTTGAAGTGTAGACCAATCTGTAGCATCACACTGGTGAAAAGAAGATCCAAGGACGCAGAAGAGGCAGGGAATCAAGTTTAGAGGTAACGAGGGCTGGGCTTGCTATGGCAGGGCTGATATTGGCTCTAGTTTTTTAATCTGCCCCCCAATCGCACGTTGCCCCCCTCTTTGACCTTGTTTGCAGTGCTGCGGCTCAGTCAAAATCAAAGGACTGAACTACTGAATTCCCTCTCCCCAGATCTTCTTTCAGTGATGCAAGATATTTGCACACGGTCCCTCAACAGTTCCGAGCAGCACATTATCATGCAAAAAAAAAAAAAAAAAAAAAGTGCTCCAGAACCAAGAACAAGGACAAGCTGATTTTGAAATTGATTCAATAAATATAAACAAGGGAGCAGCGTGCCACAACAAGTGATTCCTCTGAGCAGCCCCAATTAGATCAGCGTGGAGGGAGGAGGGTGCCAATGAAGGCCAGCGATGGCTGTACAAAGGAAGCTGTCAGAGATGCTGATCCGAAGCCAGAAGAGAAAACCTGGGTGATACCCACTTATTTTCTGCCAGTTGCTGCTTCAGATTGCTCTCTACCTCCCAGTGTAGCCATCTGCTAATGGCTGAGGGTAACCCCTGTTAAAATCACCCTCCCTCTGATATGCTTGCTCTGCACTGCGGGGAAAGCATGGGGCATCCACCGTGACAGGTGGTGAGGGAGCAAGGTCTGTGAGGCTGGCAGCTTCTCTACCTTAATGGGGCTAGCATCATACCAAGCACCTGGCTTTGGGGCTTTATGCTGGCGCATCAGGGCAGCAACATGGCGCAAAATGCAGCAGGTAGTGAGCAAAGGAAGAGAGAAATTGAACCACACAGAGACGTGCACAGATGCAACCAGAGAGAGACAGACACACATACACTCACGCACACGCGCACAGAGGGAGGGACAGATGGAGACATGAGTGTTGTAGGAGTTTTTTCCCAGCGAATGATAAAGACAATACATTACACCAGCCATTTCTCCTTCCACCCCCAAGAACCGCTCCAGTCAAGACCTGAATTGATGACCCCAGTGAATAGCATCCAGCCTACTGGAATGTGCCGGGCTGCATGTTACCCACTCCTGGTCCCAATGCAGCTCTCTCGTGGGGCGTTTCTTTGCCCTCCCGTGCTCCCTGGCCTTGCCTACAGGACTCACCTTCATCTCCTGGGCCTCCAGCACCTTCTTGCCATCCCAGGCCCAGCTCCGCTTGGTGAAGTAGTTGACAGTGGCAAACTCGATCAGCGCAGAAAACACGAAGGCGTAACAGACGGCTATGAACCAATCCATGGCCGTCGCGTACGCCACTTTCGGTAAGGAGTTTCTGGCGCTGATGCTCAGTGTGGTCATGGTGAGAACGGTGGTGACACCTGCGGGAACAAAGCAGGAGAGGACGGTGCTGTCAAAGCATGCAACCATGTTTGTGTGCCTGGTCAATGAGCTATCTCTTCCCACTCTCTCTTTGTCCTTCCAGGTAGAGATGCCAGCACACCCATGGACCAAATGCACCAAAGGCGCAGGTAGGGCCAGCCCCATTGATTTAGGCCCACTTACCTCAGCAATGAGTTTGGCCAGATGCGGGATTCAGGAGGCCTGAGTTCCATTCCTGGCTCTGCTACTGGCCTTCTGGGTGACCTTGGGCATGTCACTTCACCTCTCTGTGCCTCAGTTTCCCTTACACCTCTTGTCTACTTAGGATGGCAAACTTTACGAGGCAGGGCTGATCTCACCATGTGTTTGTACAGAGTCTAGTACACTGGTGCTTCTGGTTGCTACCATATAAAATAGCAAACAGTGGTAGTGGTAAGGTGCAGCCAGCCAGGCAGATCTAACTGGACATTTGTGAAGGAGATGCTATTAGGACATTTAAAATTGTGTTTTGTGGAGTATTTACTACATATCTCTCTGTGCTCCCCTCCTTACTTCCTCCCATAAGAAAATAACTAACACTTAAGACTTATACAATCTTTTCCATCTGTTGACCTCAAAGAACCTTACAAAGGTGGGTGAACACAATTAACCCCATTTTACAGATAGGGAAACGAGGCATGGAGAGAGGAAGTGGCTTGCCCAAGATCACACAAAAAGTCTTTCGCAGAGCTGGGAATAGAGTCTAGGTATCTGGACTTACAGGATGGAGCATTCACCACTGGACCATGCTATCAAGAATTTTTGCAATTATTCATGGCAAAATGGCCTTTTAAACTAATGATGTTCTTCATGAAAAATTGTTAACATTGTCAAAGCTTTTCAATTCATGTAACAACTTGTGTCTTTTTCAAGTTTAATACAGCACCCTGTATTTCTTTTGTAGACACAGAATATCTCAGAAGTATCCCTAGCATACCATACCACTTCAACATTACAAATAAGTTTGTATTTATCTGGTAAGGTACGGTGGAGTTTAGTGACAGGCCTGGAGAGTGGGCTCCTTTCTGCAGCATGCAAGTTAAACATGGTTGGGAATTTGTCAATGAAACTTTTTTTTTCCCATCAGAAAACACCGATTCATTGAAACTGACACTGTTCCTCAGAAAGGCTGTGTTCCAACAAATTTTTTGACTCAAAAATTTGTTTTGAAATTGTCAGAAGATTTCATTTTTATGTTTTTGAAATGAAAAGCTCTGGTTTTCTGGTTCAAAACAAGATTTCATTTTGAAATGTAAGCCATTTATAGTTTTTAAAAAATGGCAAAATTGAAATGAAATGTTTCAAAATTATTGAAACGTGAACCGGAAGGGTTTTGCATTTTCAGTTTGCAAAAATTTTCTAGATGTTGACTTTGTCCTGATTCAGGATGGTTTTTTTTTATTTTTATTTTTAGATCTTGAAACTTTTTATGGGACAGGAAAAACCATTTCCCATCCAGCTCTAATACAAGGCTCCCTCACAGCTCCCTGCCAATCTGCCTCAAGCATGATCTGCAAAGAGGAACCTCTGAAGGAATGAGTCTCCATGGTCTGTTCAGTTTTGGCCTCCCTGCTTAGACTGCAAATATGGGTGCCAGTTCTGGCAGTAATGGGACACCTGTCCCTGGGCAACTGGACTGAGATCAACCAATTCATTTCACACAGGCCAGTACACATGGAGATCTGAACCAGCAACCTGAAAGTGAAAGGCTCCGTATCCCATTATCCATTCTCAGAGCCTCCAGCTTCCCATACATGTGCATTGCCAGGAAATTAAGCAGTTTTCGCTACTTCACTTTTCTGATATCACCCATCTGGGCAGGAAATTTCTAAATTTCAAAGTCTTCTTTACTTTGGACTCTTATAAATGGACCCACTTTTCTTTTTTTTTCTTTTAATTGCCAGACATTCACTATTTGATGTTTTTATCAAGAATGTTATTGAAATCTTCATCTATTAGAAACCTGGTGGGAGGCAAACGAACAAGGTCAAAACCTTGGTTGAAAGGGTTTCTGCTATCACTGATTGCGACAATAGTTTCTGTCTTCCCCACATCTTGCACACTCTAAGGTCACTATCACCTGCCATCAGAGGTGGAAGATTAAAATATCATTGGGGAGGCGGGGGGCTCGACCCAGCTCTATCTCAGCCCAGTGCACCGGGGAGATCTGGGAGTGGGAAGTGGGATGCTGGAGAGCAGGCCTGCCTCGAACTCACCCCAGCAGAGATGTCTCCACTCCTGTCCCATGGGGCTGGACCCAGGGGATGGAGAGTGAGCCCTCCTACCCTGCATTCACTCCGGCTCCATCCTGTCCCACGGTCTGGGCCCCAGGATTGGAGAACGAGCCTGGGCAGCAGCGGCTCCCTTCTGACCTTTGGTGCTGGCCCGGGCCAGGCTCCAGCTCCAGCCAGTTGGCTCTCGCCACTAGGGGAAGGCTCAAGGCGCCCCCTGCAGCATCACATGGCATGCATCGGCACTGTGATTGCAGAGATGAGCATGTGCATGAGGGCAGCCAGGGAGATGGTGAGGTAGATAGATTTTGGGGGACTGAGCCCCCTCTAGCTCTAGCAGACTACCACCTACACCTGCCATGCTTAAATGGAGCCCTCTCTGATACCAGCAACTGTTGTAGAGGGAATGAGGAGACCCTGGTCTCAGGCCTTGGCAAGTAACTGAAGGAGGAATTCATTTTAAAATAGTTTGTTAATATATTTGTAACTCTGGCCCGACCTTCCGCCTCTGATAGCAAAGTGAAAAGATATTGTGTAAAGAAATGAAAATAATTACAATCAGTTTGAGGCACAGTCCTATTGACTCAGCCCAGGGATCAGCACATGCACAGGTCGGACCAGGAGTGTAATCAGCAAGTACAAGCTGTGTATGCAGACCCATTGCCCTCTTTCCCATATACACCTGTTACATCCCACAGCCACCATGTCAATAGAACCTCGAACAAAGCAGACGCAGCCAGTTCTGTGTAACTGGCTTATCAATATCTAGATTCTTGTTATTATTCAGGAGAGCTGATCAGGAATTTGTCAACAAACAGGTTTTTGCTGAAGAATACTGATTCTTTGAAACCCAAACTGTTTCCGTGAAACAGGGTCAGTTTCGATGAATGCACTGACTTGAAAATTTGGGGGGAAAAAGTGTCAATATTGACCAAATGGAAAATTTCAGTTTTTTGTGTTGAATTTTTTTTCATTTTTAAAAGAGGGAAAAGGTCAGAACTGAAACAAAACATCTTGAAATTATCGAAACAAAACATTCTGACTGATCCAAATTGATTTTTTAGAACATTTTTGATTCATGAAAATTGTCAGTATTCTGAGTTTTCATCCCCATTGGGACAGGAAAACTTTTTGACATCTTGAAAATCTTCATGGGAGGAGAAAACAGTTTGCTGCCCCGCTCTATGACTCAGCACTGATTTGGCATCACTTGGGGTTTTCTCACTGATTCCAATGGCTGCACGATGGGCTATTCTGAAGAACACTAATGTAGGGTGCTGTGGGAAACACAGGGGAAGGCATGGAGCTCACAATCAGTCATATTTCCAGTAAAAAACAATCCCCACCAAGTACAGTAAAATCTACTAAATAGCAGAGACAACAGAATGTTCCGTTTACATGAGGGGCCACTGGACAAGCAAATTACATTAATTTCTGCTGGGTTCTGCGAACAGGTCAACAACATCCATGATCAGTCAGAGAGCTAACAGTGTTATCCAGGGCACCTGAACTTGGCCCACTGCCCAGAGAAAACCAGCAGCAATGGTGTCACCACGTTGCACCTCGGCCTCAATCCTGACTAGAGGGAACACAAGGCTGAAGGTAGATTCTGCTAGGATTGTGAACCTTCTCAATGACCTTGCCCACGGAGGGCAGATTTTAACCCAAGTGCTATCTCCTAGGCTCACGGATTTCAGGTAATGACTGGCTTGCTACAGAAGAAAGGCTCTGACACCTGCTCCTTACTCATCCTGACTTCCTTCTTGCCTCTCAGCCATCCTCATCCTGTTCTGAGTTGCCTCCCTCCTTGCCTCTCGTGTTCTCAAGGTGCCTCTTTCCCCCTTGTGTCCCATGTGGTGCATAGACATAAGCGGTTAGGCTGATTAGAATCCAGGCCAGCAGCGCTTCGGAGATTCGGATTCTGGCTACTTCAACCTTGCAACTTGCCCACCAGATAGGCATTAATAAGAGGTCTGAGGAAGGATAAAACCTGCCATCACGAACATTACTCTTTAGAAGTTAAAATGAAAGGTGGCAACAGATACCGCATATGCCTGCCTACGCTCCTGGGGCTGGCATGCTTCAGCAGAGCGCAACAGTTCATGTGAATCCAACGTACCTATCAATAGGTGAGAGAGAACAGATTTCACCGATCCCCGGCACGGTTCAGCAGCCCTGCCCACGAAACTGACCCCCAAGCAGAGGGCTAGGGATACTTTGGAGATATGTTGTGTCCACAAAAGAAATACAAGGTTCACAAATGAGACCTCCAGGTAGCACAGGGAGGAGCACCAGACAGATTAGAAGACACTGGCAGACAGACAAACAGGTGTGGTGCCATTCCCTTCAGTGCTCTGGTTACCTAAGCAGCCATGGTTGCTCTTCCACTGAAATCCCTCACCCATCAGCATACTGCATGTCAGAAACTCACCGAATACAGTCCGGGCGGGAACAGACTCCCTGTTAAGCCAGAAGGAAACCTGTGATAGGATGACTGTCATAATGCAGGGCAGGTACGTCTGGATCACAAAGTACCCAATCTTCCGCTTGAGGTGAAAGTGCGTGGTCATGACGACATATTCCCCTGGAGGGACAGCAGGTTAGAGCAGAAAGCAGCAGAACAATTGTTACTTGCCAGGCCTGAACCAATAAAACCTGAGTCCAGATCTCACAGTAGCATTTTTATCCCCCGAGGGCGTGATTTGTGTGAACGTCCCGGTCCTGTAGGGCTATATCACCTGATATTGCAGCATGTGTCTAAGTTACCATCTGACATATTATGATACCTCATGATAAAGTAGATCATACCATAATGGCATGAAACTGGTATATGTTTGTTGCAATACAAAATTGGGGTCTATGTCACTCTTGTATACAAACATAGAGATTGCTTTGTACAAACAGAGATTGCTTTGCATGTGGGTAGGTGGACGCTGGTGAGAACTGTCACCAGCCAGAGAAGTGATATGAAGCTCCAAGCATTAGAGCCCCTTTCCTCAGGACTTAACAAAATGAAAGCAAACCAACTGAAAACCATTGAGCAACAATCTCCAGTGGCTTTCCCTGCTTCACTCAGCCGGGAGGGGAGAAGACACACCCCTCCCTTCCTTCCTCCCTCCCTCCCACCTGCTTCTCTTCTGAACCAGCTTCTACTCCCTTTTATACTCCCCCCCCTTCCCATGCAGCCATGTGACAGGAAGGCCCCCATAACCCTTTACAGACTGCATCATCTTTACCTTGTCACAGGAGGAGTCTGGTACTCTCTATGTTTTGACAAAAGATGTTATGATCTGTCAATACCCAACTCCTCCCTGTATCATTCATCTGGAAGGTCGGGACAGGATGCTGGTTGTTCAAGGCCTGGGGTGTGAGCCAGTGAATTATGTCTATTTGCCATCTCTATTTTCCTTCCCCTCCCTTTGCCCCAGTGCTCAGGGTAATGGTGGAAGCCTTCAGTTTGGCTTCATCACTGCTGGAATACGGTGTCCTTTTTTTTTCGACTCTAGCTCTGTTAAGCCATTATGCATTGGTGTCTTTTGCAGATTTCATATCATTTCAGCCTATTACTTTGTTATTATTTTTACTACAACTTGAAGGCAGAGCTAGATAGAATATTATGACATTTAGTTCTCTGGACTCCCCACATGTCCTCAAGGGAGGCGATTTGAGCTGTTAAAGACGGATACAATTAACATCAAGTGCAACAGAGAGGAAATATCCTAGAACTACTGGCGCACACACACAGAAGGAGAAAGTTAGAAGAGACACACATGGGGTAACTGCAGCTCTCTGGACCTGAATTCACAGGGGAAAGGGAGGAGCGGCAGATGGGGAGAGAGAGAGATGATTAATATTGGTCATTAAACAGAAAACATTTGTTTGGGACACTCTTCTACAACTGACGTAATATTTGCCCAAGAAAATTCAGTGAAAATCAGAGTGAGCAACATTGGCATGGTGGCCTCTCTTCACCCGTGACATTCTTCTGGGAGACTGAAATTTCAGCCAATTCAGCTGCACCCCCAGGTGATGAGAAGCAGCTGGGCAAGCAGGAGAGTTCCAAAGGCACACGTGGCTGTTAGCTGTCTGAATCCCATTGGTTTGCAATGGGAGTGGGCAGAAAGACACCTGTCTGCCAGTTGGGTGCCTAACTGCCATTTGTGCCTACGAAAACCTCCCTGACACTTCCTCTCTTGCTCCATCGCCCAACAGAATATGAGAAGGTGGCTCTGCTGCCGCAGATGCTGTGGTACTTCATAGCATGGATATGCTCCATCTATAAACACCCCAGCATAGGGAGTTAAGCTCTGCAATGCTGGGGTAGGGTCCTGAAAAACCTGGATATATTCTGTTCTCCAGTTTTCCTAGCTAGGCATTTTTATGGCACTTGGCACCATGGTACCTGAGCACCAGCATTGTGTTATGGAGCTCTCCTTCATAGCACGGACATGCTGTGTCCACTTGAACAGCTGAATATCACATCAGATGACCCTGTGCAGCTGGAGATTCCATCCATCATAACCTAGGAAAGTTCCCTCTTCCATCAGAACAGCTTGTTCTTAGGGGGGTCCATGCTCCTTACCCTTCAAAACCTCCCTCTACTCCGTCCAAAACAACACAGCGTGGTGTTAAGGAGTGTTGTGATGCCCATGCATAGCGTGGACTGCTAGAATGGCTCCATCTCCCATCACCCCAGCTTGGATCTAAGGCTACTGTGATGCTGGTCATGCTATCCTTGGATATGATCCACTGCCTGCAAGTGTCACTAGGTATCACTAGAAGTTCTGGCCTTTGATTGAGATACCTCCCATGGCTCCCATTTACTTTGCAGACATATTGGACCCAACCATGACAACAATATACATTCAAATCACATGGAAATACCCCACCTGCCGGTGCACACAGCTTTTATGTCCACTTCCAGCCCCACCTCACTTCAGTACCTGTACTGGATCGGACCATCTCTGTTCCGACCACATGGCCCAGGAGGTCATACTGATTCAGGCGAGATCCACCTTTGGCCACTTCCACTGATTTATCCTTCCCCAGCGTCCAGGTGTAGATCACCTCCGTCTTCGTATAGGCATCTGCAGAGGAGGAAGAAGGAGGAGGTCATGCTTCTGACCAGCCTAAAATATACCAAAGATTTGGGGCCACATTCAGTCCCGGTGCATCTTCAGAGAAGCCACAACGACTAATATGGCCAGTTATGTCTAACCACCAAGATGACTTTAGAAACAGTTAATCATATAACCAAAGTCAGGGCTGCCCGCCGGATGTTTAGAGTTTAGGGAGGGGTCGAAGGACACCTTAAGCGGCAGCACACTCCCCTTTAACGTTCTGGCCTACCTGGCAGTGACTTGTCATTTCTGAACACATTGGAACATAGAGCGTTAGCTGCTTCTCTTTGCTCTAGCATCTACCTCAGATATCGGTTGGGCTGCATCAGAAACAGAATCTGGATCTGGCAGAGCAAGGGTTTCCCAAACCAAAGGGTGCTAATCACAGCTATTTTGCACACAGAAGCTCCTTTGCTCCTAACTCCCTCCATGCTTTTGAAAATCTGCCCCCTTCATTAAATTGGGCCCATGCCATACAAATAGCATGGACTTTTTCCTCAAAGAGCTTCTGAGCTTCCTCCCTCTCCTCAGTCCTCCACCTTCCCTCCCCAGGCAGGCAGCTGAGCAATCAACTGAGCTCTACTCTGTCCTCTGCAGTGCTCAGCCTCCATGCCACTGCTCCATCGGGGCCCTCTCTAACCCACAGTCACTAGCACGTTGGCCAGGGATAATTAGTCTAATAAGCTGGGGATCTGAAGGGTGCCGGGCTCCAGCCACTGGAGGGGTGTGTACACTTTCTGCTGAATGTTAAGCCGTTTCTTACCAGGGTGAGAAGAAAAAGGCAGAGATCGCCTCACACTCACCAGCCTGCAGCTCTCGACAGCTGCCATTAAGCCCCTCCAGTTTATGTGAAAAATTGGCTCTGGAGAAAGTTTTCCTTCCCCCATTCTGCCCCCCTGTTCTCTTCATCTGCATGATCACAGGCTCCCCCACCAGCTTGCCAGTCATCCTCCCTAGGAGTCAGCTGCAGTGGCTGGAAACTGGAAGTGGCTGCCTGCAAGTTGCAGAAGAGGCAGCCAGCAGGAGATGGCTAAATTACTGAGAGAGGCAGCACTGTGCTCAGAACAAAGCGGTGCTCCAGCTACCTACCTGGTTACTGTCTCCATGCACCCCTTCCCTCCGCCAGCCTCCCCATGTGCTCACACACACCTTCAACCCTCCCACCCCATTCACAAACATACTCACGTTCACACCATCCCCACCCACCTGCACTCCCCCCTTATACTTGTATGCACAAACACCCCCACTCACACTTATACATACTCACATCTTGCTTTCTCACTATTAACAAGCCCGCAGCATTCAAAAATCATGAGTCAGGCTCCAAAGAACCACAAATTGTCTTAAAAATCATGAGATTACACACAAAACAATACATTTTGGATTCTTTGCATTTGCCCTCTGGAGCGGGAGTATTTAGAGAGTTACATTTTCAAGATTTTCACTGCAATTAGGTAGACTAGAAATGGTCCTATTGTAAAAAAATTATAGCTGAAGTTTTTGCAAAATCACAGGACTCCAGGAACTGGCACTTGAAGAATAACACCAAATATCATGAGACGTGCAATATGCTGGTAACTCCGCTCTCTTTTAACCTCCCACCTCCTTTCCCCCTCCAGTAAGCCAGCAAGTACCTCTGGCTCAGCAGGAGAGCTGCTAGCTATTTCACTGGAGGTTAAAGAGAAGTGGAGTCCTATGTGCTTCACTGCCACCTGCTCCTCTCCCCCCACTAGAGTAAGAACTTGCAGCTCAAGTCTATCTCAAATCCCTGTCCCCTCAAAAACCCCAACAGCTAAAGGGCCTGAGTTCTCTTGGAAGTAGAGTAGGGGTGGGGGTGGGAGGTTGCAGACAATGAGGCACATACCTCCAGACAGCTCCATGGCACAGTCTGTGATGCAAGTTCCCTGACATGGGTGTTCAGAACCGAGGACCTTCCCAGAGGCCATTAGCTGTACCATAAGGGCCAGATGGCAAGATTCCTGCTTTAATCTACCCCTGACTGCAGCTCCCTGCAGTGATCACGTCTACTGCAGAAGCCTGCTAAACAGATGCTGGGAAAGGACACCGACAAGAGATTTTTAACTCTTCCCCTTTCCCTAGGTTTCCCCTACAAGACCCAAAGTGAGACCAGGATATTTTTCTGCAGGACTGACGATGGGTCAAATTCCAGCCTGTGAAGCTTTGTGGGACATTGTGGGTTGAAACTTCACTGATTTGTCTAATTAAAAACGAAAAGGTCATGATTGCATTTTCGCTTTTTGCAAACCTGTTAAGCATTAAGGAATAAAAGGTGATTTTGATGAATGGGCGACGTTTCTCGGTGCACAACGGTGCTGTGTAAGCACTTCCAGTGCAGCTCGGCTAATGCATCTTCAACCTGACTGGCAGTGCTCTACTTTTCTAAGCCTGCCCTTCTCCCACCTCTGCCAGTGCACTGGCATCCTGGTCTGTAACACCCCCTTTTATTCCAGTCCTGGGTCCCCACAGTCAATGCACCTTAACGTTAGACTAGAAAGCCCTTCTGTTATTTCAATGCTAGACACCCACCCCCACGCCTCCCGTGTTATCCTGCATGCAAATGAGGTTGTCAACTCTATAACAGTTGTCCTCTGGGACGAAGGCATTCCTTGTGTCATGTAGCAGTGGCACTGATATTTTGGGTCCGTTTAAAGCCCTGAAGATATTTCTGGTCTGTTTAATGTCTTGTTTGCACAATGTGGGGCAGCCCAGTCCAAATCAGGATCGTAAGTGGCACAACTCCTGCGGCATCCTCTGCTGCCCTAGTCTTGGGCGTCCCCGCATAGATGTCCTACTTTGAGCCAGACTGCATGGTAGTTTTCTGGTGTGTGTGATGCTGGCAGACCAGGTGCCAGCTCATGCCAGGTCTCAATGGATCACTGACAAATACATGGCTGAAATCAGCTTGGCTCACCTGTGTGCTAATGTTGTTAAAATAGGTGTTAGAGTTATAAGAATGTGTTTCGTGTTTAGATTTTATTGAATGCTTGTAAGTTGCTGCATGCATTAATCTCATCTATAACATATGTATCCCCATATTGTAAGGCAATATTTGAGTGGTTGTGTTGTAAGCCTCTCTGACTGTGTAAATCATCAGGCAGGAGAGAGACATTAACCAGTGTGAAGTGCTGGTCTCCAACAGAAGGTGTTAAGTCCTGTTCAACAGGGAAGGTCTATGGTCCAGACAGACTATTGTGGAACATTAAAGAGGACCAAAGATGTTTGTTTTGCCCTGCCCATCCCCCCCCTTAAAGATGAGTCATGCAAGTGGATTCCTGCTGTCAACTGCATTTGTCACTAAGAGCACAAATGAGGAGAGGGATAAAAACCTCTAACAAGAAGGAACAGGATCTCTCTGCTATCATAGAATCATAGAATATCAGGGTTGGAAGGGACCTCAGGAGGTCATCTAGTCCAACCCCCTGCTCAAAAGCAGGACCCATCCCCAATTAAATCATCCCAGCCAGGGCTTTGTCAAGCCTGACCTTAAAAACTTCTAAGGAAGGAGATTCCACCACCTCCCTAGGCAACGCATTCCAGTGTTTCACCACCCTCCTAGTGAAAAAGTTTTTCCTAATATCCAACCTAAACCTCCCCCACTGCAACTTGAACTCTTGGGGACAAGGTTTACTAGGCATAAGCTAGAGATCCCTAATGTTTAGCCTGGATTAGCCCTAAAGGTCACAAAGAGCTTGCTTATTATAGAAGCGTCTATTACATTTTGAAATTTAAGATTGCAACTCATTTGTGTTTATATATTTACCTGCTTTAACCTTGTAAATAACTCTCGTTTCCTTTTCATATTTAATAAATCTTCATATATTGAGAGACAAGGTGGGTGAGGTAATACCTTTCATTGGACAAACTTCTGTTGGGGAGAGTGATAAGCTTTCGAGCTTACACAGAGCTCTTCTTTAGGTCTGGGAAACATACTCAGAGTGTAGTAGAGCAGGGGTAGGCAAACTTTTTGGCCTGAGGGCTGTACCTGGGTATGGAAATAGTATGGCAGGCCATGAATGCCTGGTGGGGGAGGGAGACTCTATGGGGTGTAGCGGTGGGCGGGGCTCTATAAGGGATGTTACCGAGGTGGAGGGAGGGGGGACTCATGGAGTGTTGCATGGTGGTGGGGGGAGCTCTACAGGGGTGTTACCGGGGACTCCTAGGGGCCCTGCCAGCAGTGACGCTAAGACAGCTGCACCAGGCACTTGCCATGGGCGGAGGCACCGTAGCTGGGATGTGTGCGGCCCCTGGCTGGTTTTGAGGCTCTCAAGGGTGGGGCTGTAGGAGACTGGGAGGGGATTGGGCACGCTGCTGTGTGCGGGAGGCTGCCATGTAGGGGCGGGCTTCCAATCCTGGAAACAGTGCAGTGAAGTCGCGCCTGTGCAGGGTGGCTCTGCACGCTGGAAGTTGGTGCTCATCAAGGGAATTGTGAGTCGGGGGCTGGGGAGCGCCGGGTGGGTGGAGCAGCGCAAGTTCCCAACCCCGCTCCCTGGCGGGAGCTCAAACACTGGATAAAAATATATGATGGGCCAGAAGCAGTCCGTGGGCCATAGTTTGCTCCTGTAGTAGAGTGTCCTGTAAGTAAGTTTCTCAGACTTGAAGAAGAGCTTTGAGTAAACTTGAAAGCTTGTCGCTCTCCCCAACAGAAGTTGGTCCAATAAAAGATATCACTTCACCCACCTTGTTTCTACAACAACACTGCATACAACAAATCTTTATACAGTTTATTATAGGATTGGCTATGAGGCAGGTTAAGATTTTGTCACGGTTATTTTTAGTAAAAGTCAGGGACAGGTCACAGGCAATAAACAAAAATTCACGGAAGCCCATGACCCATCCCTGACATTTACTAAAAATAACTGTGACAAAATGGGGCTGATGGGGGGATAAGAGTTTGAGCCCTGCTGTGGGAGGGATGGGGGGACTCTGGCACCTGCCACCACTGCAGCTGACAGCTTCAGGGTCCCCCCCACCGCCCGTGGCAGCTGAGAGCTGTAGAACTCACAACCAGTTTGAGGTTTGTGCCCTGGTTCCTAACAGTCTGCCCTGAGCTTGGCACTCATGCTCTCGAGTCACTGCAGGGTGGCATGACAATGTGCACATACATCTCCTAGGGAGCACGGAGAGACCTTCAAACTCATTTCACTTCTAGTCCCTGGAACAATGTGAACACAGGGGTGGGTTGGTTGGTTGGTGGAAAGTGAAAGCTGCTGTGCAAAGCTTGGCTCCCTGCTTTCAAGGGAGTGCGCTGCCCTGCAGCCATTGGGAAGGCTGCCACCGCTAAGAAGTGGCATGGGGACAGGAGGTCAGCAATGATCGATCCAGCTTGCCAGGATCCTCAGAAACCTGAACTGAGTTCTGCTGAGTCTTTAAAGAATATGTCTGGTGAGTTAAAGGGACACTGCAGAAGCCCTTTAAGCCTCAGATCTGACCAAGCCTAAACTCCTTACAACTCTGGGGTGACCAGCTTCCTGGTCTGTGGGGGGATTTGCTGAGGCTGCACTCCTCATGTGGGTATTGATGGGATTTTGATGCCGTTCTATTGAACATATGAGCCATGTGCTCAGACACTGTGCTGATGGGTGCCATATGGATATTGATCATAATCATGGCCAGTTTTACAAACACTCAGCTTCTTGTTTCAACACTCCCATCGTTCAGATGCTGAAATAATAAAAAAACAAAAACAAAAATGGCACTCTGCCACTGCGGGGGCCTGACAAAAACGTGTGCAAGAGTCTCCTTCCTCCGCCCTCTCCCTCCAGGAATGCTATGGGATCTGAGATGGAGAGTGGATTCCAGGCTTTGCTAGTGTAGGAGCAGATGCAGGGTTAGATACCCTTGCCCCAGAGCAAGCTGCTCTTCCTGAGTCTCTTTTCTCCTGGAGTGTCCAACCCCAAATGTCTTACCAAAGAGCGTTATGGTGCCTTCTATCAGCAGCCACTGACATTGCATTATAACTGCTTAAGTAAATAGGTAAATAACACCATTGCCTGTCTCCAAAACAAAGACTTTGTGTATGCAACTATAAGAATGAACTTTTTCCCAAATAACTTTACAAGCAGCTGGCTAAGAACAAACGACTGTTCCCAGCCCTGGCATTACTAACAATGCTGATGTTTCCACCCAGGAGAGAGAAGGTCAGGTTGACTACTTCTGTATTAGAACCATAGTGCCTGACCCTGCAAGGGGCTGAGTGGATCCTGAGACCATGCTTGGCAGATCAGACCAAGAGAGGGGAAATAACAGAAGGGGAAACATACATTTTCAAGCATCTAGTGGGGTGAAATGCTGCTGTGGTCTGGGAGTACCACAAGATCCTGGCCGCTCCAGATCTGCCAATACACAAAGACCTCAATTCCCTGCCACTCTCCGGACTCAAATCCAGGAAATCTTTCTGGACCCACGCATCAACACTACAGGCCAACAGAAAGGATGCCAGCACTTGCTGGCTTGAATCATGGGCCACTTGTGGTGCAGCCCCCAAAATACCTTAATGAAGAGCCAAAGAAAGAAGTCCTGGGATTCTGCCTTCCCTGTCGTCAATGATATTGGAGCAGTGCACAGAAGGTGTGGATATCTCCTCCACAAATGGAAAGTCAAAGAATCACCAAACTGTGACTGTGGTGCGGTACAATCATGTGACACATGATGGACAACTGTCCGATTCATGCTTACACTGGTGGTACACAGGGGATCCACCTTGCTACCCCAGACGCATTAGAATGGCTTTCAAATCTCAAGATTCAGTTACAGTCCCAGCCTGCTGCTTTACAAATGCCACACGAAAGAAGAAGTGAGGTCAATGAACTGAAATGAAAGCCTCATCAAATCCAGTGGTAGTGGAGGGCCCAGAGAGGACACCAGCCAGCAAATGGCTGTGTACTCCACTAGAGAATCAGACTAATTGTCCCTCTCCCTGCTAGACTGACAGCTCCCTCACATTACCAGGACGTTCCTCCCTCCTCTGCCCCCAGGAAACTTGGCTTCCCGCGAGAATGTGAGCTCACTGATGTCAAGGAGAAGCAGGGGATTCAGCACATGAGGTGAAACAAGCATGTGAGGGAAAGGGCATGGCCAGCCAGTGCTTGCCTACCTTGTTCCCAACAACAAATGCAGCCCTGCACCCACTGCCTCAGCAGGCAGCCTCGGATGGAACCAACTGCTAGCAGTCAGAGTTTGAAGTGGAGAGAGTGGTCACAGATAGGACTGGACTTACTGTCAGCATAAGGACAAACTTAGGGTACAATTACCTGCCCCAGGTTCAAGGCACGTCAAATGCAGGCCAACAACTTTGCCAAGTACACCCTGGTGGGCTGAAGAAGATAGGTGGACAGTCAAGGGGACAATGATACAAACTAAAGTGGCAACTCCTTCCTGATCCGAAGGCAGCCACAGGACACCCATCCCATCACGTGCCTCCACGGCAGTGTTTCCTGGACGTGACGTGTTGAGTCAGCTGCACACACTTTTCCTATCTGATTAGACCCAGGCTGCAGGACCTCATTAATCAAAGGCTCTCCTGCGAGCGCGTTGTGCTGTCACCTAAAGCTGTATTTGATAGCACCATTATTACACAGGAGTTGCCATAGCTGATCACACCCACCATCCATCTCGTCCAGTATAACTCCTCTGACAGTGGCCAGAGCCAGATGCTTCAGATGAAGGTTCAAGAAACCCTTCAGTTGGGCAGAGGTGGGTAATCTGCCCATCCCACATCTCATCATAATCCCCAATAATTAGAGATTGGTCTAAATCCTGAAGTATGAGGTTTTATGTCCCTTCCAATACCCTCTTTGTCATCTTGACCTGTTAAAACTCTGGATATTCCTGATACCCATATATATATGTCCAATCCTTCTTTGCATCTTGCCCAGTCCTTGGCCTCAGCAGCTTCCTGTGGCAGTGAGTTCCACAGTCTAAATACACATTGTGTGAAAAAGTGTTTCTTTCCTATCAGTTTTATATTTGGCCTTTCCATTTCAGTGGCTGTCCCCTGGTTTCTTGTGTTATGAGACAGAGAGAGCAGAAGCTTCCAATCATGCTGATAACCACATTCCCTTCTGGTAGTTGATTAGATATATCCAGATAGACTTTGCCCTTGAGCTTTATTACAGGCTGCCACGGGTTCATTGATTGGACATTTACTGAGGGGGGAGGCCGGCTTTAGTAAGCTGGGTGCTTTATTTGATTGTCTTAGAGCACAAGCTGTCGGGGAGGGGGCTCAAACTGTTTTGTTTAGCTGGGAATAGGTAACCCTAAAGGGTTAAAGTAGATTGAACCAGACGGGCAGCTCTCTGCTCACCAGCCAAGGAGTGGTGGCTCTGTGTAGAGCTGAGCCGAGGAAGGTGATTCTGTTTCATGGAGGATTTAGATATTTCAGAATTTGGTTTTGTTCTGATTGGGAATGAAAACCACCAATTTCAAAATTCTCCGCAAGAGGGAACAGAGCCCCTAGCTGGTGGGTACTCTGGAGTTGGGGACCCTGCCCAAGAGCTGCGAGTCTGACAGTTTGGGAGTTCAATAGTTCAATAAATCCTATGGACAAAGGTTTCATCAGAGCAATGCCACCAGTTCCAGCTCTGTGGGACAGAGAGGGGAACTCTGTGGGGGGAACACTGCTTACCCAAGCCAGAGAGAGGTGAGTGAAGCTGTTTGTCCCCGTACTAGCTTGGTAACCTTACAGCGAGACCCAGGGTCACTTACCCATCCCTGGAGTGCAAATTGCCGGCAGGTGCACACACACAGCTCCTATGGACCACAGTGGGAACTGTACGCACAGCACAGTTTGATTTTATTATATGGAGCACCTAGCAAATGTGTGGGCACTGTATGATTAATAATAATGCTATCTAAAATACCTGACAGAAGAGTTCCATTAAATAAATAAGCTACCAGCATATGGGCACACAAAACTAGACTGTGTGCCCTCCCCCCATTTAAGAAGGTTGAACTAGGCACTTACAGCTCCCAAATTTCAGCGGGCAGGCATGCACATCCATTGGGAAATCCTCCAGGTGCATGGGGCACTCAGCGTGAATGGTTAACCTACAAGACAAACATAGGCTGTCATTGTAAACGCACATCTGCTAAGGATCCAGCATGGAGCTGCTGCTGCAGCATCTTGTCCCATATCCACCAAAGTCTACATAGTTTCAAAATGCTGACTCCTAGCAGATCTCTTGGCAGCAGGGCCTCGGGTACGGAGAGAACAGGTTGCATTCAATTCTTGACACCTTCCCCATTTTGCAAACTTAGTCCGACCGACCGAGTTCACCTTTATCCACTAATTGCCATCTAAAAAATCTATCAAAATCCTGTACATTTGTTTGCCTGTGCATTATGTGCAGAGAGATCATTAACACCTAGTTCTAGCAATGCTAGGGGTTGCATCGTGGATCTTATTGCAAAGCTGATGGATTATACATTCATAGTCTCCACATGCTATATGGTTACTAGGGTTAGACAAAGCATCAAAGCACTTCAGAGAGTTAAAAACCTGGGAAGAACGGGGCACAGCTCTTCATTATCTTCTTGAGCTCCCTGGAACCCAGGGCAATCTGCCTTCTACTACAGCAGGGTTCAACATACGCCCCTAAGCATGCTGGCCAGACGGACTGGCTGATGAAGTAGGGGTATCTTTAGGCCGCAGTTCCACTTCTTCCTACTCCCTTATGGCCCCCTTAGAGGGTGCAGAGATACAGACCCTGCCCTTTGGGAAGGGCAGGGACTGTGATTGTGTCTTGCTGCTGTGCAGAGGAGGGGATTGTGTGTCAGGGACTCCTCGAGCGCACCCCCCAACACACACACATCCTCGTGAATCCATGGAGCAGCAGGACATAATGTGGTCCTATCACAACATCACCTCGACATTAACAAGCAGCTGATTCAAGGGTGCGGCACAGCAACCATTATAACAGCACCAGTGACACTGACGTCCTCGGGGCACTCATAGAGGGGACTGATAATAAAAGGATTCAAGAAAGTGTTTTCATTCAGTCTAGAAGCTTATGCTCATTGATGAACTATTGAAACTGTCAGTGAAAGTCTGCAGCTGTTTAATATACACAGAAGGGAGCCAAAACAGACACCAAATAACTCTGTTGAGAATTCAGATGGTCAAGAAAGGTTCCTATTGCTTCGCTAGAAGGAGTGGCTGATGGACACTACAGGTAATAGAGCTAGACCAAGGCTGAAGTTGTCTTAACAAGAACCTAGATCACAAAGACTAGCTGAAAAATTTCCATTTCAATATTTTTTGATGAAGAATGGCTTTCAACAAACTGGAATTTTTCACCAAAACAAAATGTACTTGTTCATTGAAAAGGTTCAGGTTTTTGTAAAAAAACCAAAACAAAACAAAAACAAACAAAAAAAACAAAGAACCCTGAAACATTTTTGTCTTTCAGATACCAAAAGGCAAAAAAATTAGTTTGGGAGTTTTTGACAAAACCCCCAAAAATTCAAAGAAAATTTCTGATGAAAATTAAAAGAAAAAAGATGTTGAAATTTTTTGGAGGACAAAAATACACTTTTCTCAAGGAGGTCATTGCTGTAAAGCAAACCAGAAACAATGCACTTGGGAACCACTAGATCCAGGTATCTGGATCTACTAAGGTGGACACAATTGATCAAGTTCTGGTATGACATTCCCTCGGCATCCCCACTGAAATCACTGAGCTAGGGTGACCAGATGTCCCAATTTTATAGGGACAATCCCAAAATTCAGGCTTTGTCTTATATAGGCACCAATCACCCCCCATCCTGATTTTTCACACTTGCCATCTGGCCACCCTACACTGAGGTTGCATGGAGTGTGTGTTTGTGCAACATTATTGTGAGTCAGTAGATGGAGCTGCTACAGATAGCATTCTTGCGTTCTGTTCAACGGAATATAAAAGCGGATAGCTCTTGCAGAAATGCTTATTGTCAGCTGGCTGTTCACTGAACACATTTTGCTATAAAATTGCTCTGATGCAACGTGTTGTCATGTTTGTCCTGCTGGGTTGGCAAATAAATCTTGTAGTGTTGGAACTGGATATCACTTCCAGTTAGAGGGGTCTGGTGACTTTATAGTTCCCACAAGTCCTCACACTCCCATCATCTAGAAACACACACTATAAGAACAATGCATTCTCTAAACTCTACAGGTCCCTACTTCTGCAATTCTTCTGATTGCCTTTCTATAGGTTCTTGCAAGGCCCAAGAGGCAAGAGAAATGTAAGCCTGGCACTTTTAACAACATGCCTTTTTGCTTTTATGCCTTTCACAATCCCATGTCTGAATGAAATGCAGATTTATATTTTCCTTTTAATTATATCCACAGGACCTAACAGGCCATGCAGAGCTGCCATTCCCAGTTCCTGCTCCACCTCCCATCCCCCATGATGTAGAGGAAAGGGCAAGAACACAGAGTGGCAGGGAAGGGCTATGGCTAGAGGCCAGGGTACATTGGGCATACAATCCCTGTAGGACTGCTGCCAGCTGGGCCAGGACTGGTGCAGAGAACCCACTCTCCTGGGCAGGGTAGATCTCAGTGCGGGAGAAAATATGGGCCTTTAACTTGTTACGCAAATGACTGAAGTATAGCGAAGAGTAATTTCCTTCTGTGACAGTTAATGGGAAAGGCAAACAGGACTGCTTGTACCCGACATTGGCCTGCTAGCTTCCCAAAGTATCTCTCATCTCCACCCCAGTGTTCCAGTACTACGCCCCTTTCTCTTTGCGTAACAGAACATGTTTTCACTTGTATGTTTCTTTAGCAGCTACAGATACTGGGACACTTCTGCCTGTTTCCAAGATCCTATTTACATTGTTGATATTCATTTTATATGGAGCGTGGGAGACTTGTTTTTGTGCCCGACACACAGATGTGAGCAGGGCTATAAAACACCAGTTCTCTCATTAGGGACAGGTCCTGCATATTTACTGTGCACCAGCCTGAACCCTGTATTCTCAGTCGGGATAAGTTAAATGGAAGTCAATGGGACTAGTCATGTAACGGCTCCCCTTTGGGAGCGAGGGTCTCCCAATCCAGACCACAGCTGGTGAGGTGCTTCATACTCCTGAGCGAGTGTGATCTGCTGGCCAGGCTCCTGCTTTTTGGCCTGGTACAGAAACATTGAGTGGTTTGAAGTAACATCCCAAAGCAACAAAACCGCACACGCTGCCTCCCATTTGCTGATGTCCTCTTCACTCCTCCACATGTGCGGACTGGACAACAGGGCATGCAGGCAGAGGAACCTTTCAGTGCTTGATCCCAAACTCACTGATATCAATGGAAATACTGCCATGGGCTTCGCATCAGGTCTGACATTAGCCGTCCATTTCCTTCGTTGGGTTCACATACCAACACTGCATGCTCTGCTCATTCCAGCTTCAATTCCTATGCCTTAATTCTAGATTTCTGATCCCAAACACAAAAGGCAGACAGGCTCCCAAAATGATTGGGATGAACACTCAGAAAATCAGGTACACTTGCTACTTCTCTTTGCTTTCTTAAGTGAAGCGTCTCTCTCTCAGCTACAAATTTGTTTGGGGAACTTAGCATTCATTTTGTTAGCTCTTCTGTCAAGTCTGCATAGGTCTTATCACTCCGTCCTTGAGGGAGTCATACATCTTTCTGGGCTGTAAATGTCTCTTCTCCGGCTCGACTGGATTTTTTCTTGTAACATCCTTCAATGTTATTGGCATAAAACTGCAGTTGGGACCTTGGTGCATGAACTTCAACTTCCTCACTCTTTTTATCCATGTGGAAATCGCCCATTTTACCATCCATTTTACCACCCATGGCCTGTTTTACCCTTTCTTTTACCCTTCTTCTTCGGTCAGATCCTTCTTGCTTCACTGATGACCTTATCATTTCAAAAGCACCCCAGCGAGTTGATTCATCAGTCATCCTGCCCAAAGGACACACTCTCATGGGCTTTTCTAATAAGCCAAATCTGTCTTTTTAATTAACTATACTGCACTAGATGCTCTGCTGCCATCAGTGTCCCCTGGGAGTGGCTGAGTCACGGAGGGTACAAAGATGCTGGTTACAGACCCCAGACTTTGGGGTCCTTGCCACGATGGTCCTAGTGTACTTTAGAGCAGCACCAAGGCAGTCTCTCCCACCGCTGCACCTTATCATTAGCAATGACAGTATCCACCTGGCCCTCAGCCTCGTACTCCTCAATCTGGCTGCCCATAGATCAGAGCAATCAGTCTTTTTGACTTGGGTATGAAGGATCCAGCACAAAGTGTTCCACATCTGTAGGTGGAATCAGGATTGTAGGTCTCTGGACACGTCCGATCTGCTTGACCTTGTCTGCATCTGTCTGTGTGTATCACAGATGTTTGCACACCTCTGGGAATTGCTGTAGCCCTGCACAAGCCAGAATGGCTGGAGACGGCTGCCCTTGCCACTTCATGTGAAATTGCAAATGTATGGAAAGGGTGGAATTTCAAGCTCAGAGAGAATTTTACTAGCTGATACCAAACCAAATGGAGCCCACCCCCCTCCCCTCAAAACAACAGCTTTTCCCCATCCCATAAACTGGGGGAATATGGGGGCCCTGAAATTATACAGAAAACTAAATGTTGAGGTCTCGAAAAACCACAGGAAATGAAATGGCTAAAATATTCAGGCAAAATCTCACCTGAAACTTTTCAGCTATTTCAACCACCCAAAAAGTTAGTGCCTCAGATAACGTGACCAACGGTAGCATTTTCTCACTGGAGGGAAAAGGGGAATAGGCCTTAGACCTCTCTCTCACACACGCAGGGGCACACGGGGGCAGGCATATGCTCTCTCTCACACACACATGCACTCTCACACGTTCTCACATGCAACTGTACGTGTTTCCACATACTTTCTCTCACACACATGCACTTTCATATGCACTCCCTTAAACACACACACACTGTGCTCCTCCACGTACTCACAATCCATGGCTTTCACAAGTGATCTCTCTCACACACACTTCCTCTCTCTTGCACACATGTGTACACACTCTCACACATGTGATCTCTCGCTCTCTCATACCACAGCGTGCTCGCTCTCTCAT